TGAACTTGAATAGGAAGTCATATACTGGCAATCTAAATGTGACCTTGAAATTGACCTTTGACCTACTTTTTATCATGAATTGAACTTTGCAAATTTTGGTTCCCTTTTTCTTCCAAAACTAGCGAGATAGGTCCATAGTTACTATTGAACTTGAATAGGAAGTCATATACTGGCAATCTAAGTGTGACCTATGTGGGGGTCTATACGAATGCGCTTGCTCCAGCTGGTGGTACAATATTCGGAGGCGGTATCACCTCTCTGATCCTCTAGTTACAACAGTGCATTTGCTCAACCAAACATCTACCAGCCAATTGGATTAAATGTTGATGCTTAGTATACTGAATAGTTTGGCAACCTGTAAAGAGTTGGATAAATACAATGACATAATGGCACAATCAGATAAAATAACTGATTGATAAGAATAAGAATTTTAATGGATATTCAAAACCAAGATAAAACTCAAATAAAATTATATAATTTAGAAATTTTAAAAGATTACCAGTCAACATTGAGCATGTATTATGCACTAGTGATAAAATGATGTTGATGTTACTCTTAGTTGTTTTGTATGTTTCCGTGTACTTATTTAAGACCTCATAGCATTCCATTTGAAATCACCAAAGCTTGGTGCACTGTCTGACTAGCAAGGCCAGAAAAATCTCATTGCTAATTTATTTCCGAGTTAGGTGCACATGGCATTAGTGAGCTTATCGATCGCTGGAACAAATAAAAGAAAAATTCAATCAGGGGGCTTATCACAAAGTTGCCAGTCTCAAGCATGTAAATCAATGCCAAGATTGAATCTTAGGTTGAGTGACCACTTTAATGAATAAATGTAATTAGTAGGAAATTAAAAATTTCTTTGTTATCCAAGTTGTTGTCACACGTTAAAGAAAAATGACCAACATGTATTCACCAGACATTATATATATACGTTATGGACACGCATTAAAAGAGCAGATTATAAAATGAATGGGTATATGTATATATAGCATGGATCAGCATTACTTTTTATAACCTTCATAACTGATTTCCTTTCCTATATTTATTTATGGGCTGAAATTGTAAGTTATAATGTTATTTCAGTTGTTATGTTAAACTTAATTTTTAAAATTAAAAGTTTTCAGTGAGAAATTAATATGGTTATATTACTCATTTTGACAGTGTAGTGTGGATGTGTTAATACATATTTCTTTCCTTATTTTTGTTTGTAGGTGATCCGTGAGCCAGGTTATGAACCTCAACCCATCTTTGAAAGTACTAATCTTGGTAGCTATGGAGAAACAACAGGTAAACCTCTTTAGAGTTTCTGTTTCATTTGTTATTTTAAAAAAACACTTAGGTGTACTTGGCAAGGAAAAGGGTTCATATGGCAGTTATTAGTTCTTATTAACTCTAAGTTACTGCATAAAAATTAGGAAGTTTGTGTCAGCTACTGTTTGTAACAGTTTAGGTGCAATGTACAGAAGTGAAATAAATATGATCTGATTTCATTAACTTTGTGATGATATTAAGATAAAGATCAAGACTGTATTAATTTTTTTTTCAGAAACAGATGACTATCTTGATGATCCAGTACCATCTTATTCACCAAGACATTCCAGGACATATTCAGCACCTGCACCTAGGGCTCCAAGTCCTATCCTGTACAAATCTTCCCTACGTGATCGTTTTGATGAACGTCCTTACTCACCATCTGCTGCAGACAGGATACGAAGACGTGTAGACACTGCCTTAGCAAGATCTCGTTCTCCATCACCATATACCTCGGTAAGCAATTTTTTTTACTGTACTATCAATTTTACCAATGAACCCCGCCCCATCCCCACCCCCTGTGAAATATTTGAAAATGAGATATACTTTTTGGAAAATGCACCTTTTTGTGTTTTAAAAGTCAGTATACTGTATAAATCATTTTTTTCACTACTGTGACAGTTAAACATTTATATTACAAATGCAAGGAAAAGGTGTACTTAATTAGTATTAGTTGATTTATCATTATTATTGTTGTTATTATTTTCTTTTATTAATCAGCCTAGACTACGTGGCAGCCATTACGATTCACTGGATGATCTCGCAGTTGAGTTTGAGCTCGCAAGAGATAGAGACAGGAGGTACTGAGCTGCGCTCAACCAGTGAGGTTCATTTTCAGTTTAGAAGTGTGACACATATGTAGTTTCTAGTACTCTTACACAAGCAATACTAGCACAGCTTTTAGATTTTAGTCTAAAAACTACCTCTGATATGATAAATAATTTCTGTTAGTAATTTGTAAAGTTTTGACAAAGAATTTGTGCTCTGAGGTGAGATATTAAAATTCTGTGATTAGGAGAACAAGTTCATGAGCCAATCATGTCAAAAAGTTTCTGACGTCTTTATTTAAAGCAGGTCACATAAATTAAATACTGAAAAAAATATATTTATTTAGCAATTTGAACAGAAAGGGTGGATCATTACAGTAACTGTGTCAGCATTTAGGCAGAGAAGAAAAACAGTAGTTGATAAAATAGAAGAAACATTTCTTACTTCAGTGCACCACTAATAAGATACACAGAAAAGTATTCAAGTCCTATTATGAGAACAACCCCTAAAATGAAACTCTCTTTGGGAAATATTATGAAAAAATTACTAACATCAATGTAAACTATAAGACTAACAATTGTTCAGCACAATTTTTTCAATACCATAATACATCAGAGTAGAAAAAATAAAAGATTAAATGCATCTTTTACTGCTGTACAGTTAAGCTGATAGTTTTAGTTTTGTTGTATAAAATAATTTTATTAATAAATTAACACCAAAATAATTCGTTTTAATGTATATTTGATTATTTTTTTAAATTGTATAATGAGAGTAAAGACCACTTTTGATTTAAGGTAGATAAATTACTATTGCATTTTTTTCTCAGAAAAATAACACCAATATTATTGTGGTTCATAAATTATGTACAGAAATATTTCAGCATTATACAAAGAGATTAAAAACCATGATCATGTTTTTTTTTTCCTTATAGCCTTGTCCATTTGACCAATGGAGAATACTGGACACAGAAGGCATCACAGTACACTGGGAAGTCTCACAGAGAATTGTTCCAGGACAACTGCAGGAAAATTTATCATAACATTTACAAACAAGCAAGGACAGAATTTTTAGATGACTGAAAATATGCCAAGAGATCATCATTATTACCTTGCTCTGGAATTATTAGATTGTAATAAAGTTTCAAGTTAAAATTATAGCTGGTTCAAATTGTCATTGTCCCCATCGCAACTGAGCAAATACAAGTTTACACCTATATTAGTTAAACTTCAACTGGCATATAGAAATGTACTGGTTCCGATTTCATGTAGTAGTATCTGACCAAGCTCAGTATAAATGTATTTCCTTTCTCCAATATCGTAAACTTACTTCAATGTTTCACAGGTGTACAAATATTTCAATTTTAATGTCAGAGATAGTATAGTCTCAAACTGATAATGTTTTCTTGGGACAGGCCATGAGGTAAAAAATGTTATTTAAACTAAAATTTGAAGATAATTTAAATTTGAAGTTAATTAAGTCATTTTTGCTTAATTTTACCAATATTCTATAAATTTTTACACAGATTATTGCATTTAATCAAAATGTCCTTTATTTCAAATTCCAGTGTATGGGATAACAGTCAACTATGTTAACCATTTTAGAGAACCACACTTTTTTCATTTACTCATAATAACAGAATTTTGTAAATAAGTGTCTATGTTTTTTATAGATATTATCTCATTATTTGTCTTCATTTTGATGTAGTAAGTTCTTTTTGCTCAGGAAATCACAGAATGTTCACTGTCAAGTTTGTCATTTTCTTTTGTATCAACTGCAATACGTGTACTGCACTTGGTCCAAAGACACCTGAAATGTTCACTTTGATACATTTCATCAAGAGCTTTAATTGCTTTACTATTTTATAATAAAAGTTCATCCTTGCACACACAGCAGTTATCATTATTCCTTTTCTTAACATAAAAGCAAAAGCATAACTTCATGTCTTGAGGTTTGCAACATTCATGAAAGAAATAAGGAGCTTCTCATTTACTATTTTTATGTGCAGCACCAAGCAGGTCTATATATCATAGATATTATCTTTACTTTCCACTTTCTTCTGACCTTTTACAAATGAGCATTTTCTGCTGCAGGTGCTTTTTGGCATGGACTTTTCTTATTTGGAACTTTTGAAATCTATTACGGCTCTTACTTTTATAAAGCATAATTGCATAAAACTTTGCAAATTCATGCATGCAACTTTAAGTTAACAACTTCAGATTTACCAGTATGCAGTTTGGTTAGTAATATACTCAAAATTCTCCTTAAGAGAACATTACATTGCTAGTCAAAACAATATAATTACTGTTTGCAAAAATGTTATACCAAGTTCCGGGGTCCATGGCTTATCATATCCCAGTGTCTTGAAAGCTACAAAATTGGTCTATAAATGTCTTGTAATGCATGACAAGTGAAAAGCAAAATAAGATGAAAAAGTCTTTCTGGTTTGGTACAATTCCCCACTTTTTTTCTGACTTGACCACACAAGGAGCAAAGGTCATTTCTTTTTAAATATATAGTCTGAAGCATCAAATTGAACATCTTCCTCAACCACCCTCTTCTTTTTCTTCTTCTTGACTTTCTTTTTCATTCCTGATAAATGCATCTCTTTTTCTTCAGGAGATAGTGAATTTAGGTCAAAAGGCAGCTAAAACAGGAAAA